AAACTGAAATTGGGGAAAAATCGAAGGATACTGAAGAGGAAACGCTCCCACCAGTCGAGCATGTAGAGCCCAAAAGTGACGTTGTATAGATAGATTTTGCGCTGCACCCAATTCATCACTCTTTTTTTTTTTTTTTTTTGCTGTGAACTTGTGGTCTGTTGCTCGCCCGGACAAAAACTGATCAGCCCAGAAGGAGAAAATGGATCATCAGGCACATGAGTTATGAAAAATAAATGGGGAATATTTGTTGATTTTGTTTATAGCTTGAGCTCTTTACCTGTGGCGATAATGGCGGAAAGAAGGGAAATTTCTCAGTAGATTATTATTAATCGGGAGCGTTTTATTGGATTTATAGAATTTTCGGGTTGGCCCGCGTTGACGGGCCCGGTCCTCTTGGTCTTGGTCTCCTCATATTGTACTTTCCTATTTGAGACTCGGTCAATAATAATAATATTATTATGTATATTATTATCATTAAGATTTATTATGTATTTGTATTTTGATCGACGGTGAGCAAAATCGAGCAGAAACCGAGAAAAATTGAGTCGAATCCTACCATTTGGGGTGTTGTTAGGTTTGGTTTTTTTAATGCTAAAAATTTAAGATTTGTTTTTTTTTTTTAAAAAAAAAACAATGTGGTGCACCGGTTATTATTTCCATAAGTTTGGATTTAGATTTTGTTTGTTTCATTGCGGTTTTGCACCAAATTAATAAAATGAATAGAAATTTTGAGGAAAACCAAGATTGAGCCAAACCATTTATTTCAATGCAGTTCGGTTCGTTAGGTTATTTTAGTGTGACAAAATTGAATTTGTGATTTTTTTTTAAGTTATGGTAAGATTTGGTTCTTTTTTTTTTGTTAAATTCGGTTTTTTGCGGTTCGAAGTAATTTTACATCGAACCACATTATTGCTCCCTCCTTACCATTTGTATTATAATTCATATATTTCAACCATTTTTGGTCAAATTTTCCTTTTTTTTTTTTAAATCAAGTCAAGCA